TAGGATTGTACGATATAAATTACCTAGATTATTGCACATGTATTATAGGATGGCGTCGCGTTTAACTGAGCCAACATTTTTCGGCGGGATTTGCTTGCGGGGGGGTCTGTTAAATCCTACAGTAGGCGGAACGACGATGTCGACTTCGCCCAAACCCGCAGATGTCTAGGCTGGAATCGCGAGCTGTTCTCTATGGATTGCTACTAAGTGCATTTATACAATATTACCAGTACGAGTATATACTACAAGGATATATTCGTGAGCTTTATATATATATAATATATATATTATATAGTAATATATATATAATTATATATATATATTATACTACTATAATTATATATATATTATATATATAGAGAGAGAGGCATGGAGAGAGAGATGGAGAGAGAGAGAAGAGAGAGATTGGAGAGAGAGAAGAGAGAGAGGGGAAGAGAAGCGCATTGAACAGAGAAAGAGAAGGGGAGTAGATGACGTGATTCGCCTTAATTTCTGTTAATTCAGCAACAAGAAATAGGGCTCTCTATTTCGCTCATAGCAGCCTAACTTTATCTACGTTTAGCCGATGGACTATCCTGGACTATACATTAGATAGAGCTGTCGTACGTCATGACAGCCAAACTTTGCCTATAAAGGCCTCAACAGTCCCTGTGCCCGCCTTCTTCCTGCGCAAAGCAATTTACAAATTCACTTGGCAAGGGGGCATCAGCACACATGGGATGGATTTACCCCTCCCATTTTCAAATATGAATCATTCACAGCAAGGAGTAGATATATAAACCTAACATTGTTATGTATCTATCTTGATGATTGAATCAGCTCATTACGATTCATCATTCGGCGCCACATAACATTCGTCTTCTTATTTAACAGAAATAGTTTTCATCGAACTGCCTGCTATATTTGGTTATCAGGTTATCTATCACCACTGGCGGGGTGCATAGCGAATTGTTTTGCTAGTTTTAACAACAGTTATAATTTTGTGCAATTACTTGTGTAATTACCACCCTTTCATCTGTTGGCTACTTAATGGTTTAGGCCCCAGCTTCAGACTAACTATTGGACTCGTTGGCGCCATCTAGTAGCCGGCACTATCATTAATTCGAAGGCATCCAAGGAAGATATTATGCCTTGCGGTGTGTATTCGTTCTTCTCGTGTCCCGCCAGTATCCATTCCATGTGAAGATGCGTGCTAATTGAATTCTTAGCTCGGCGCCCGACAGGGCGTTTATTTTGCCTACCTGGTTTATTTCGATCATACATCGGTCACACAGACTGGAGTTAATTCTGCTTACAACGTTGGACATTAATCTAAGTAGTGGGAAATTTTTTATTATTTATATACGCTCACGTGTCATACAGTGGCTAGGCTCGTCGTTCGTTCATCGTCCCCTTCTCAATCTCTCTCTCTCTCTCTCTCTCTCTCTTTCTCTCTCTCTTCTCTCTCTCTCTCGTCTCTCTCTGACGTCGCGTCATCTCTCTGTCTCTCTCTCTCCTCGCTCTCTCTCTCTCTCTCTCTCTCTCCTCTCGTCTCTCTGCTCTCTCTTCTCTCTCATCTCGTCTCTCTCTGCACTTGCTTCGCTCCTTTTCTCTCTGTTATTGGTTCGCTTCCTTTCTCTCTTGGATTAGTGCTCCCTTGTCTCTTTCTGTATTGCTGCTCCCTTTCTCTCTGTATCGCTCACTCTCCCTTTCTCTCTGTATGTTTGCCCTCCCGTTCTTCTGTATTTGATTTGCACCCTTCTCTCTGTATTGTTTGCTCCACCATGCTCTCTGTAAGAACCTCACTCGCTCTTCCTTCTAGTGGCGTGCGCGTTTCACGTCTGCACGCCTTTTTTCTGACTCTTTCTCTCCTCTCTCTCTCTCTCTCTCTTCTTGTCTTCTCTTCTATTCTCTCTCTCTCTCTGCTCTCTCTCTCCCTCTCTTCTCTCTCTCTCTCTCTCTGCTCGTTCTGCTGCTCTTCTCCCTGCGCCTCCTCGCTTCTTTCTCTCTTGTCTTTCTCTCTCTCTCTCGCGCTCCTGTCGCCTACCTCTTTCGCGCGTCTTCCCGCCTCTCTTTCCCGTCCTCGCTCTCGATCTCGTCGCTTCGTCTCCTCCTCTGCTCTGCCTCTCTCTCTCTCTCCTCTCTCGTCTCTCTCTCTTTCTCTCTCTCTCTGCCCGTGCCCTCCCGCTCTCTCTTGACTTCCTTCCCTTAACTCTGCTCTCGCCTTCTTCCCCCTCCATCTATCTGCCGTCTCCTCCCTCTATCTCTCTCTCTCTACTCTCTTCGTCTCTTTCCCCCCCACTCATCGTCTCTCTCTCTCTCTCTCTCTTTTCCGTCTCTCCCTTCTTCTATCTTCTCGACCAAGGCGGCACTGGCATTGCCGTCTGACCTCACGCTTCCCGGTTCTCGTCTGTTCGTCTGCATGGAGACTCCTCCTGCCCCTCCTCTAGTCTCGGTTCTCACCTCTCTTCGCCACTCTCCTCCTCCTCCTTCGTCTCGTCTCCTCACCACCCTACTCCTTCCCTCCTCCCGGTTCTCTTCTCCACGCCCCCTACTCCTTTCTCCTCCCGTCTCTTCTCCACGCCACCTCTACTCCTCCCTCTCCCGGTCTCGTTCTCCACCGCCACCCTTACTCCTCCGTCTTCTCGTCTCCTCACCACCATCTTCCTCTCCCGCTTTCTCCATCGCCACCTCCTCTCCCTCTTCCCGTCTCGTCTCCACACACCCTACTCCTCCCTCTTCTCGTCTCCATCACCACTTCTCCTCCCGTCTCCACGCCACATCCTCGCTCCTCCTTCTCGTCTTCGTCTCCTTCACCACCTCCTTACTCTCCCTCCTCTTGTCTCGTCTCCACGCCACCCTCTCCTCTCCCCCTTTCCCATCCTGGTCTCGTCTCGTTCCTCCTTCGCGCCACCTCTTTCTCTCGTCATCCGTCTCCACCTCCACGCTCACCCTCCTCTCCCTCCTTCTGTTCTCGTCTCCTCTCCGCGCCACCCTCCTCCTCCTTCCTCTCGTTCTCGTTCTCACCTCGCGCCACTCTCCTCCTCCCTTCCTCTGTCGTCTCGTTCCACCTCCTCCTGCCCTCCTCTCGTCTCGTCTCCTCCTCGCGCCACCTCTACTCCTCCTCCTCTCGTCTCCTCGCCATCTACTCCCTCCTCCTCTGCGCTCTTCGTCTCACAAATCCTTGCCACCCTACTCCTCCCTCCTCTCGTCCGTCTCCACGCCACCTACTCCTTCCCTACTCTCGCTTTCTCGTCTCCCACGCCTACCCTACTCCTCCACTCCTCTCGTCTCCTCGCTGCACCTCCTCGCTTCCTCCTCTCATTCATCTCACTGCCATGCCCTACTCCTGCCCTCCTTTGGTTCTCGTCTTCACACCTCGCTCTGCCACCTCTCTCTGTCTCCCACGCCACCCTCATCCTCCCCTCTCTTCGTCTTCGTCTCCACCTCTCGCCCACTCTCCTCCTCCTCGTCTTTGCGTCTCGTCTCCTCGCCACCTACTCCTCCCTCCCTCCCGTCTCTTCTCCACGCCACGCCTCCTCCCGTGCTTCCACCTCTCGCCACCCTACTCCTGCCCTCTCTCGTCTCGTCTGCCACCTCGCCACCCTACTCCTCCCTCCTCCGCGGGTCCCTCCTCGTTCTTGTCTCCACTCTCCTAGCCACCCGCCCTTGCTTTCTTGCGACCAACTTTCTAAACCGGACCTTTTCACATACAACAAACCGGCTTTTACAGCTTTATATGTTATTAATGTATTTTCAGGAGCGTCCACAATCGACAGTTACCAAACAACAGAAGTACACGCTCTGTTTTGTACACATGAGGGTTTTATTTTTTCGTGTGCTTCTAGATAGCTATTCGCTGTTCCTGCTAACAATCCGCATGTCAACGGCTAAACAGGTTCGAGGGAGAGCCTACACAGTCCCTGGACAACAAATTATCTTATTTATACAAACTACCTCTCACACCAATGCAAAAACGCGGGCACATTCTAAAACCGGGGCCCCTGTCAGAACACGACTTACTTGTGACGTTCTTACGTCGTGGCCACGTGACGCGTTGGTGGCAAAATTAAATTTTACATTTTTAAAATCATAAAAAAGACATTTTTAAATTCATATATAGTCATAACGATATCATAGACACTATCGATACTAAGGACTATGTATTACTATAGAGGACTATGTAGGATATTTATAGACAATGATTCATTAAAGACGAGAAGTCCATTACACAATTGATTTATGGACAGACGGGGCCCTGCCTCGATTCCTTTTTCATTCGAGGACTCGACTAAATCTTACTAGTATCAAAAAAAAATCTGAAAGGGCGAAAGGTGTCCATAACAGCACAACGCGTGGCTGAGGTATATCGGGGATTCTATAACAAGTGGGTTAGAATAACTACTGTGATAACATACTATAAGAATAACTCTATACAACAACAATATATATATTATATACCGTATTTTCCTAGCCGATAGAACGCTTCTTAATGGGGTTAACTGCACGCCAAATTCAGAAGGGAATAATCCAGAAAAAGTTCGACTTGCCATGGATAGCCCTGCCCACAACACCGTCTGATGCTCAATAATGAAGGTCGGGACTGCCACCCTCAGTTGTTTCTGTTTTGGTCCCTCAGCGTCTTTCTGTACCTGAAGGCTCTCTTCACCATCAGCATTAGTTAGTGAACACGCACTGAAGCTGGAAAAACAAAAGAATTCGGCTAAACACAGGCCGGTGAAAACGTTTCTCATAGATACCTTGCTCAAGTCGAACATATTAAGTGCAACAGTATTGCTCAGATTTTTCCCCTTGTTTTCTATTTTACACACACGCACAATAAGATAGCCATTTAAAACTGCAAACTTTCTTGTCACCCATGACCTTCTGCATATAGATGCAATGCGTTTTACATTCTAGACATTTACCGAGAGATAATAAAATGCGTCTATAAGTCACAAAATAGCGGCATATGTATATATGTTACATATACAAGATTTACAAGTACGAATATCGTACAAGACTGCGATGGAAAAATTTCAACGACTAAAATGTCGTATTGAACACAAACATTTTTCTAAAATTTACAACGATTCAAATGTTTGTGCTAGATTGATTCGTAATAGCTTTCATTTCGTTTCCCTGCACTAATAAATAGATTCATGCTATTCTTAATAAACACATAAATATAGCTTTAAGAATTTTTTTTTAATCCATCTTATAGAGGATTTTTTCACAATCCATGATATACAATTAATGGGGAGGGCAGCAGCATTACATCTCTTCTTACAACTTAAAAAATGCCTCGAAGGCTCGAGCTTCAAAGTACTGCCTAACGCTGGGCCGACGTTGACGATCATATGTATACTTTCGTACGTCCTACTTCCAACAACAAGCTCATCGTCGCGATTGCTTAGTCGACGATGAGAAAACGATCTCTCGCGACGAAGCCGCCCTTTTTGGTTCCCCATCCTGCCACACTGCCGCATGGGGAGAGGCGGCCCAAGTGCTTGCTTGCAGCGGGGTCTGCGGAGAGAGAGACAGCCAGGAAAGATCTCTTGAATGGAGGAGGGACGAAGCGGGAACGTCGGCGTTAGCTTCAGAGCTGCCGCCAGCGAAGTAAGAGCGGGAAGATTCACGGAGCGGAGAGGGCCCGATCCCCCTGCGGACGAGGAGAGAGCTCGGTAGTCTCCTCATCGCCGCCGCACGTTATGAGTCTGCTTTGTCGACGGAATCCTGCTTTGTCTGGCCAGCGGGTGGGCGGTGTGCATCTGGATAGTAGGCTGAGGCCGAGGTCAGCCACCGCCGCAGAGAGATCCGCCGAGTCGAAGGTCGAGTGGAGAATGTTCCAGGCTTTCTCACGCCGGCTCCTCGCGCTGTCGCAGTGGTGTTGTGTGGAGGGCGACGGAGGAGGCCAGTCCCTGCGTAGTTGAGGAGAGAAAAGAGAGTAACCGGAGGAGACACGGTTGCAGGCCGCAGCCGCCGCCCGCGTTACGAAGGTTTGCGTCGTAAGCGGCGCTGCCATCGGGCCGCAAGACCATGTTGCCGAGCGAAGTTAGTTGTCGACAAGTCCGTCTATTCCCTTCCGAGTCCCTCCTCCTCCTCCGTCAGTCGTCCTCCTCCTACTTATTCGTCGTTCGTCGCTCCGAGCTTCCGCCGCCTCTCCCCTCCCTCTCGACCCCGACCCCTTGCCCCGCCGAATCCGGCTGCCGGGCCGTCCGGCGTACTCATACGCCACCTGCGGCCGATGCCGCCGCCGGCCGCACCGGCTTTTGAGGCGACCTTCATGTTGCGGCTGCATGTTGCTTCTTGTCGTGAAACTGCGGCGCGCCGCAGTAAGCACGCGACACGGGTCGCCGGTCTTCGCCGTGCACGTTCAGATGTGCCGACTTTGAGGTTGGCCGTACCGGGATTGAGTGGGCGCGAGAATCCGCGTCCGCCACCGCGCTGCCGCTTACGGCGTTGCTAGCAGTGGTCACCTTGTGGCCGCCGAGCGGAGTGATCTGCGACTGCAGCTAAACGCCTTCGCGGCACACGTCGACAGCCGATACTCACGCGCGCCGCGTTACGTGGATCTTCTCGTGCCTGCTCCGCAGGGGTTCGATCGCACGCCGCAGAACGCGCTGGATCTCCGCACGTCGACCACTGCCAGCGGTGCGGCCGCGCGCCCGTGTTGACGACGAGGTGGTCGCAGCGTAGTGCTCCTTGAGGAAGCGCTGGCCGCATATATCGTGTCGCACGCGTGCTTCCCGCCGGCTCCATGCGACTTCAGGTTAGGTCGCCGAAAGCTGGCTGCGCTCCGGGTACCGCGCTTACAGATTTGCCGCACTGCTGCGCACTCAGTCGGCGGGCCGGCCGCGCAAATCGCTCGGCGCCGGGCGGACGTGAGACGCAGCGCCGCCGGGCGAGACGCGAGGTTGACTGTAGAGCTCGAGCAGTGTCGCGGGAGAAGCGAGTTGGCAACTCCTCCTTGGGAGGTCACAGAGCATGAGCAACGAGAGAGAGTAGTCTTCGCGCGTGAAGAGAGAGACGCGAAAGAGGCAAAAGGCGACAGTTAAGACGAAGAGCGAGAGAGAGAGAGAGAGAGGAAAATGAGAGGCGAGCACGGATGAATGAGATCTTCGTCAGGCCGATGGTGGCCGGGAGAGACGACGAGATAGAGAACGCGCAGAGAGAGAGACAGAGAGAGAGGTGCCGCGGATAGAGAGGGGTGTATGTGAAAATCCACACCTGTAGTATGAATAGTGTCTCCTGGTAATGGTGGCTCTCCATGATAGATTCTGCATACAGAACTGACAGTGGTGTCTTCATTGTCTTCATGAACATGTTATTGTAGCCTTGGTGGTCCAAGTCATGGCATATGCACGCAAATATCAGTGCTTTCCTCTAAAAAAAAAACAAGCTGTCTCACTACATTCTCCTATTTTTTAATCTTTACTTATGGGTGATTTACTAACAGCCATAAATCATTGGATTTCATGTTGATTTCATATTATATTAGAATGGTGATACAATTTATTGGCTAAACTCATACAACCATCTATATATACCATGCAGTTGGAAACTTGAGTTGTCACCTTTTATAATTTATGTCCCTAAATATTGATACCAGTATAAGCCATGTATATCTAACGGAGATCAACCCATTTTGAAGATTACACAGGTAATTACCTCCATCAATGGAAATGTCGTAGGATTTTCGTGCAGGAAACGGAACATACAGTGAGTCACAGTGAAGGCATGTTTGAAATTATGGTACGGTACATCACGGTAGCCCTGTTTTACAGTCAGGATGAAACGGCACAGCTTGGAGAGGTCAAAACTAGGGAAGAGGTGAGGCTAAGAATTATGCGAAATACTTGCAGAATGATCACAATGGTTAATGTTCATGAGTGAATAAGCGAAGTTTTGAGGCAAGTGCTGCAGCAATACTAATTTAATATTCATTTTACTTGTATTTACATGGATATGTAGATGTATTTTTTACCAATCTGGTCCAAACAGAGTGTGCACCATCGAGATGAACAGCTTTGGCAACTTCTCCATGTGTGGCATACAGTAGAATTCGTATCTAAAATATAAGAACACTATATATACTAGAGCCCATACTAAACCAGGAAAGTACCATGTATCTAATAAGTAGCAGTTCGATCCAAAATTGAACACAGATACTTACAGACAAATTAAACACATTGCAATATAACTAACTTGAAAATAAAAGCAATACCTAATTAATATAATTATATGAAATTTCGGTAATTCTCAAAATAGTTTGTGCTGTTATACAACCAATATGAAACCATTATTCACGCAATATGAAATGCCATGACATGTGACAACGTATGGTATTAAAATAGCATAGGTGGATATATGACATGTGAACATCCAACACAATTCACCAGATGTATAGATCACACTCCCAAGGCATAAGAAGGTAGTCATATGTCAGGTATACGACTAAGAGTTGCAGCTGGAAATAGAATGCAATGCTACAAAAATTTACATCCATAGTTTTTGCTCTCTGTTTCTGCTTTCAACTACATTGCCTGTCATTTACTCAATACCTGAAGAAGCCTTTTGGGTTCTTTTTAGGCAGTGGGCTAGCAAGCAGGTTTTTATAGCTTTCTTCAGGGGGGTGAAGGTGATAACGAATCTTCTCTTCTTGCACTTCCAGTCTGTTTTTTGCTTCGTACATGGTCTGTGACAGCTAGAGAACAATCAACATGCGTTTACACCCAGACACCACTAGTTAACAGCATAAATAAAGTCTGTCAGTAAGTACTATCAGAAAGCAAATATAGAATGTTTTATGTAGGTTATGGTATAGAATTCTTTTCCTTTTGTACCTTAACGCTTACATAGAAATACGAAAAACAAACATGTGACATCTCCAATTATATATAATATACAAAATTACCACACATCAACAATACACACACAGTTTTATATTGGCCTTGTTAATAATTAAACTTCAACCCTGATTTTCAACTTGGAGTCAAGTTTGTGGAAACTCAAAGAGAGAGGTAATTTCTTCCCGAGAAGGTCAGAGTATTTTGTTGCAGTAGGCGACAATACTATCTGCTACATCTGCTGCTCACATAAGTATCTCAAGCAGCTTTTTCAATTGATTCATTAGGCTTTTTAAAGTCATCAGTTGTTGTTGCAATCTGTGGTTTTGGTGTGGGAGGGTAATTTCTCTCGAGATCCATCTACTGTCTAGTGTCACATACTTTTGAGTAGAGCAGAGCGAGAGAACAGTAGACAGCAAAGCTCTTGAAAGTTGACTCATCAGTGTTAGTAAACGCTGTTCCACCTCGCTTGTTCAGCATCTGCACTACGCCAACAACTTTGTTGTTGGAGAGTATAGGCATGCAGAGTATACTGTTGGTCGTAAATCCTGTCAGCAGGTCAAGCTCTCTGAAATAATGTGTTTGATTATAGCTGTTATTTTATGTATTAAAAAATAACTGCATAAATGAGAGAACAGAGGTTACATTATTTACGTCATTAAGACTTTTTCTGCTTGGGTTTTTCTAACTCTTTTATGAAGTATTTAACTGATAAACTGTATGCAAATATACCTCCTTGATTAGTTTGAATGATAAAACTGCTGTAATTTTATTTAAACAAACGTTAGTCATTTAATAAAATCAAGGTTAAAGGGAGAGTTTACTCTAGGTTCTAGAGTTCTTTTCAGTTAATGTAGGTTATAATTACGCTACATAAAAAGTTTCATGGTTCAATCACCATTAGAAATATTTTTTTTTAATGTTTTAAAACTAACGACTACAGTTTGATTACAACGACGGTGGCGCCACTCAAAGCGCACGATCTGATAAGTTGCGCAAAACCACTTTCCAGCCAAGGGCTACAGACCGAGGGTGTTTTGTATTTATTCATTTTAAAGCCAAAAAATTTTAATATCTTATAAACGACATATAGTTTCAGTTATAATATGGATAAATTTGCCCTAAAATGAATATCGTTTGGTTAAATAGCATTTAGGTATAAATATAATTGCACTTTTGTGATTAGACCTCGGTCTGTAACGTGTAAAATAAATTGTCAAATACGCAACTTTTTCGGGGTGGCAGCACGGTCGCGGGTGTCATGGCGCCGTTCAAATTTCGTAGCGTTGATGTATAATTAATTATAACAATTAAATTAGGTATCTGGTAACAAATACGTGTGGGTATAGACGATTTGTTATACAGTAAGTACAGTTGTATGCAGTAAAATCCTAGAGGCTACTGTCCCTTTAATTACCTATTAAACCTAGTATCTTCATATGGATTTGAGGAGTTGACCAGCTGGCCAGTTCTAGCAACGAAGCCTGCAATCCCTGTGTTCATACTAAACCTACAATAGCACATACATTTGTGAATAAAGAACAGAAAAAATGTATCACCTTTTACAAATTTACTGTTATGAATAAATAAATTGTAAAAATTATTTTTATGCATTGTAGGTATGTTCCAAGCACAAAAAAAACGTTTATAATAATAGTATTCCATTATTGGGAGACTACTAAATATATTTACCTCCTATTTGTTATTAACAGCAGCTAATTTTCACAGATTTTGAACAGTAATAATATATAGCTAAATAAAATTTTAAATACGATTATAGTATCATTTAAACACGTATAAAATATTATGTGAAACATAGCTAATTAAAAATTCGATCCACATTCAAACGGACATGATGATTTTTCATAGACAGGACGTTATATCACCTACCTGAGTTCATTCTTCTTCACAAACAATGGTCTTCCATGCTGATCGACCTGGCCCTCATCAAACAGGCTGCAGAACAGCTGGTCAGTGCTGGGGTCGATGAGGAAGAACGAGCAGCGGTCAGCCTGCACCAGGTTTTTCGTGTAGCTCATGATGTGATTAATGAGCGTGTCTGACCCCTGGAAGAAGGTTTGATAAAGGAACAGAGCCTGGGAGCTACAAAACACTGTCATTAACATGGTAAACCTGCATTGGCCTGGGAAATAGGAGCTCAGTATTCTATGCCAGTTAGTCTCAGTCAAAAAGAAGTAGTTTTGGCTTCGTTAAAGATTATACATTTTTATATAATTTAACAGATGAAATTATAATCTAGCTAATATCACATTCTCACAAGTGGCCATACAAACCTCCTTGTCATCAAGCACAATTTGACTGGCTTCGAGAAGAAAGTCGTTCAACTCCTGCTGTTTTGACAGGGCCTTACAAGCCTGAATGTTCTGGATAGCTAAGCCAGTCCAGCACACAATTGTTGTAGCAGTCTGAAAAACCACATGATCATTAACGTAGGTAAAAACATATAAACATCAATCTTTTGTACCTGATTATACAAATGTTGTACCTGTGTACATGTATATATATATATATATATATATAAGTGCATATATTTAGTACCTGTTGATTCTCAATGGTAAAACCAGGACTTCCAAGAGTTCTAACCAGTTCAATTATTCCTAATAAATCACCATTTGCTTGGATAAATGGCACACAGAGCACAGAGTTTATTTTGACACTGTCTAATCCAACTCCTTGTGGGAATCTTTCATCCTAAACGGTATGTAATATGGAAAGCCATTAGTATTATTCAAAAGCATTCTGCTGACATTACCATCATTGTTTATATTATCAGCAATTTTTTGGTATGATACTGTAGGACTTTAATCAAGCTTAAATTAAATAAATTTAATAATATATTACATAACATATTAAACAAATACTTAAAAAAAAGTTCTAGTAGCACAGCATGAAAGTTAAAACATGGTTATATAATCTTAAACTAAAATTAATGAACAAAGTAAACAAATACATGTGTAACAGTGCTGTAAGTATAAGTGTCTAGGTTATGATTCAAGTGGTTATGGACCACTCTTAACCTGTATTGTAACTACTGGGTTCTACTTCTAATCAAATCATCACACCACTCTTGACCTTACAGTTGTCGAGCATCAAGACTGATGACCAGTTTATCACTGCTTGCGAGATATGAATGTAGTCCTCATATACACGACTTACGTTTTGCAAATCAGCAATCAGCAGAGTTTTTTTTGTGAGACCAACATAAGCTGAAACTGTTGTACCCTCGCTAACAGGCCAACATAGTCTTTCTCTGTCAGTTTCCAAGAATGCCGGTTGATGTAATGTGATCTCTTTTGAGCCAGCTTCTATTGTGTAGAGGGAAAAGTCTTCTGCCCCAACAGCTAAAATTATATCGTAAATGCTGATCTTAATTAATCTTAAATACTTTGTGACTGTTTGTACGTGACTGATCATGCTTATCAAGACAATGGTAGCATAAAAATTCCCATTCATTGTCAAGGACAAATGTGATACAGATTCAGTTTTCCATGCAGGTGTATGTTTGAAAACATGGCGATATGCATCATAATAATTATGTTTCTGCGGTAACAACTGAAAACCTGATTAACTACCACTAGGCAGTCAAGCATATTTAATAATATATAACATAAATTAAACATTTGAAAGTACAAACCAGATGCTATGCTACCAGCCACTTCATATAGAAATGGGGTGAAGTCATGGACATCAAACACTTCATGTGAAAGGGTTTCTTGTATTTTTTGCACATTTACATACTGAAACTGCGATAACACAATTTTAATCCATATTTAGTTTTAATATTACAACACAATCCTGCAATCAGAGTAAACAAAGGATCTTAAATTGTACATGAATCCCATTTACATAAATGCCTTTGTATCATTGGATCTAAGTATAATTTTCCATCATTTCTTGATCAGTTTTTACTCAGATTATTTATATTCGCAAGCAGAAAGGTCTGTAAGTGTCTGATAGCTTATCTTTGCAGCATTATTAGTAGGCCTATTAATTCACATAGCACATACAACTTTAGGATATATCAGAAATGGATAAGCCTATAAAGTTCTGTAAATAGTTTGCCTAATAATTGGGAAATGCAAAATGGTACGATACATGTATTCAAATCACAACTTCAAAAAAGGAAAAATAATTGCTTACTCTATTTAACGTTGCAGTATCTTGTTTTTGCAATTCATCAAGCTCCAAGAAGCTTTTTCTATCCAATGCAGCCTTCTTTTGTTTCAACCAAAGCTCTAATGTGTCAATGCCTACATTCTCTTCTACATAATTATCCATTATGAAAGGGTTAGCTGCAATAAACTCTTTTGCCCCATTCATTGTTATACCTGAAAATGAAAATAACAAGAATTAATATGACAAATTAGAATATAGGAATTGACCAACTTAGAAACTAAGGACACAAGCCATTTTTTATATATTATTTTTTTGAACAATGAGTATACATGTACGTGCGCGCACACATGCACGCGCGTGTGTGTTTGTATGTGTATATGTGTGTGTTTGTATGTATGCACTAACAGTGTTAATTTGCACAGTGTGACAAAATGTTTTGTAGAAAAACCTTTACTATTAATATTATTATAGTCCCATGGTTTTGTTAGAGGTAATCATAGTCTACGCTACTACACTTCATAGATAGTCATAGGTATATTCTAGCTCTACTCATGTAGCTCTTCGCTCCGCCAAAGCTTGAGCATCCCTGTAACTTGTAAGTTGTAACCTCGTAACCAATACGGAATGACAGAGGCAAAAAAGCTAAACTTCTTTGGATCCTTTGCAGATGGCACGTGTAGAAAGCAATGATCATGCTCATACGATAGAGCGCAGCGAACAGGCTTCATCAAGTAAGAGGGATCGCAAATTACATTGGTTTTATTGGGACCCATGTTCTCTATCCTTGAACCGGAACGCCAGTAACAAGGCAAAAAGCATATAATTACATAATTGTATAATATGCAGAGCTAATCTGTAATCAGCTATTGTTGGGGGGGGGGTGTTACCATAATAATTGGTATTTGCTGAACGTGGTCTGCTGCCGCTTTTAGACGAGAATCGCTCATCAGCGAAAATGTAACCAGGTCGATCGCTAGTATAATGGTTTTCATGAAACTGATTTGCGATTTCATCGGGTTGCTCTTGTTCCTGAGCTTGTGCTAGGGTCTGTGCCTGTGGTGTAGCGGGTCTGCCACCTGGCAAAGGTGCTACCCGCCTGCCAGACACCTGCTTTTCAGGACAGGACATAATCAGCACCGTTTAGTTGCATTCAAATAACAAGTCTACATTCTTAGATATGCAGAAATTGTCATATATCACGTTATGTATTGGTATCACAGCAAAACATTCCAACTTCAAAAAATGCCACGAATGTAGTGCTGCCACCTACTTTATTGCGTGCTCTTTTGTTTCGCGCGAATATTCGTTCCCAAGTTTTGTTGTGAGTAAACATGCGATACTGTTGTGCCCATTATAAAAGTAATTTATATTAATATTTATAAATAATTGATGGACGTAAACAATCGAACACGGCAATGGCTGAATGCTCAACACATCAGCGTTCCTCCGGAATGGCTGGACGCCTGTGTGGATTTCTTACATGACGAACATCGGATCCAGGTACATAAATCGGCCCTGGCCTAGGCTCTGAGTAAACCGACCAGGCTCTCCGACTGTTACAACGCTGTGTTAGGGTACGTGTGACCCAACGTAGTGTTAAGCGAGAAGGGAACTTGTGGCTAGAGTACTGAGTAGAACTTAGAAGTTAGAACCACATCATGGCACATGCACTTGGAGCGTTTCAATAAAATATAATGCTAAATAAATAGGAAATCTATTTACTACCAAAGACAAAAGTTTTCAACTGTCTTAAGTTAATGTTTCTATAGGCGGCATTAGGCCTATTCTCTTTCACCTATTATTGCCGACAATTTCCTTCAAATGCCGTTCAAATGCTCATCTGCAACAAACGCTGGCTGCCGCTGCACACTGACACATAAATATATCGCAGTGGCTACGCGTCCGGAACCGGTCACCTCTCCTCCAGGTGCTGAAAATTTTCCACTTCGATGCGAAATGCATCGGCCGGGCATTTCATTATTTACGAAAAGTAAACAGGCTGGCGAGAGACAGTAGGTACAGTAACTGGTCACGTCGGTGATGCCCCATTCATGTCCATCAACGAAGAAGGCGGGGCTTATTCTGATTACGAAGATGCGAAAATGCAGCAGAAGGACGTAGTGCAATGTGCTAAACAGTGCGTTATTTTCGTATTTGTGGCAAACTCTATCGTAGGAAACCGTTCTAACATAGCAGAATGCCCTAGTTCCTGAGATCGGCGATTTGGTGGTCCAATGGGTCCCCAAAGACTGGTGCGGCATAGGCTGTGATTGGAAGACACAAGACTCAATCCTCGGTGCGCCTTGTCATCATGGCCGCATCATGTCTAGCTCTCTCTCTCTCTCTCTCTCTCTCCTCATCTCTCTCTCTCTCTCTCTCTCTCTCTCTCTTTCTCTCACTCTAAACTCTCTCCGCCTCTCATCTCTCTACCCTCCCCTCCTCCTCCCTCCCTCCCATCCATCTCTCCCTCACCTCCCCCCTCCCTCCCTCCCTCCCTCCCTCCCCTCCTCCTCTCTCTCTCTCCTCTCTCCTCTCTCTCACTTTCTCTCTCATCTCTCTCTCTCTCCTCTCTCTCTCTCTCTTCTCTCTCTCTCTCTCTCTCACGCCGCACGCGCACCACACAGCCTCTGCTTCTCTCTCTCTCCTCTCTCTCTCTCTCTCTCTCTTCCCTCTCTCTCGCCCTCCTCCTCTCCTCTCTCTCTCTCTCTCTCTCTCTCTCTCTCTCTCACGCATACACACACACACACACATACACGATTCCCTTCTCTCACGCACACACACACAGGCACTGGCAGCGTTTCAATAAACATATAATGCCTACAATAAAATACGAAATCTATTTTACTACCAATTTCTCTACTCTGTTTCACCTTATTATTGCCGACAATTCCTGTAAATTTTGCCCGTCCTAAATGCCTCATGCAAGCACCACTGTCACACGCTGAGCGCCCCATGAGCTAGCCTGCCACTGACACATAAACGTAATATATTATGTCTCAGTCGTGCAGCCCATCCTTAGCGTCCGGCGTACTGGTGTTTGCAGATGAGCATCTGACCCATTTACACTGTATTATAGCGATAATTAAAGTAGAGAAACATTAAGACTTGGAGAAATATCATTTCGTGTTTATTTCCTTTTTTATTTTTTTACTTGAGGACGTTCCAAGTGCCTTGCACACACACACACTCGGCAATCACAGAGCGCTGCCCGTTGCCCCAATCATGCCGTGTACGGTTGCCAAGATCACTGTGTGAGAGGATGTCCGGACGCTAGCCCTAGCGGCTCCTCGTCCGAAACGTCGCGTTGCCATGGCCAAATATATAGTGCTCTCATATTTATGTTATATATTTATAGTAATATTTAGTTCAGTGGCCCCACCGCATCCAATGGCGGCAGCAGCGTTTGTTGCAGATGAGCAGGTTGACGGCATTGCAGGAACATGTTCGCAATAATAGTGAAAAGAGCCTATAGAAACTTGGTATAAATAATTTCGTTTTATAGCTCATCTGACGTTAGTCGAAGACCCACTGAACTGTAGAATCGCATGATCGTCCGTGCAGCGTCAGTGCGTGCGTCCCTGCCATCCTCAGTCAACAGTGGCACAATCTTAACGCTCGACGTACCGGCCGTAACGATATTTGCGCGACGTCGCGGGGGCTCGTGAAAAGACTCAGAGTTACAAATTTGGCAAAGTTCAAAGTCAAATATGTAAACGAGGGGGAATATTTCCCCCTTAACTTAAGCTTTAGGAGCCGAAATACAGCAATTGGGTACAATTTAACGCTCAGCCTATGCTCTTAATATTCCGGTTATAGTGTTATGGGCAGAAACTCATCACCAGTGCGAAATTTAGTCACAGTCCAAAGGGCCAGTGGGGAAAAGTCAAGATATCCAGCACATTTTCTGAGGACATGCTAATGGACAGAGCTTGAAAAACTTTTTTTGCTTTCAGCGCCTGACCTACCTTTTATCACTTTATGAAAGCGACCATAACTGTGCTTCACTGACGTACGAAAGTGAATGTCTATAACCTTTTGACCCCAAAGAAGTAAACATGATTCCTAACTGCCTCAAGACGTCACATTGTTGTCATATTCCCATGGCCACATCCATAATCTAGAAACCAATAAGCCTGGATAGCGAACGCCCTACAGCACAGAATCACGCGCCAAAGTTGTTGATCGAATCCCATCTGCCATTTTTATTATTTACCTGGTTCTGCTAGTTTTCTATCTTATCCATTTAACTATTTTCCCAATTACGTAAATATTTACATTATTTATTTACAACAATTACATAACAACAAATAATTGTTACAACATAGTAATTATTTTATTTTTTTTAATAGTTAGGTTAGGTCACCATTAAAACAGAGTTCAACACGCGATTTTGCTATCAACCAATCGGATTAGGGAAAGGATTGCGCAGAATGCAGAACGTTGCTGAAATGATGTCCTACGCCAACTGCGTATCTGCATATCTCAGCACTAACAATAGATGTCACTACGCACGATTTCAATGCTTCCGTTTATAACTCAGGTTGTCCAATCGTTTGCTAATTCGAAACTATCATCGGTTGGACCAATTAACCGATGATCGGGTTACAATCGCGTTACTCGGGTGTTGAATGCCTGCGTGTGCGTAACGTCGCGTGCATGTACGTGTGTGCATGTATGTGCTTGTTTAGCCCTGTTTACTGTTTGTTTTGCACTGTTTACTACTATGTGTATAATACATGTATGTTAATAAAGGATAACTTGTATAGTAGCGATGATATCTCTGATTCTCATCACTTTTCCAAGTTTTCTTATCAAGTCATCTTTTTTTTTTTTTCGATGAAATCGATTATGGATTTTGATAACCAAGCGCTTGGTTTGAGCCACTGTTCAACCGATGATCGAGTATAATCGATGATCGTGACATCACTAAGCGCTTGGTTCGAGCCACTGTTCAACCGATGATCGAGTATAATCGATGATCGTGACATCACTATTTATAACCGTAGCAACAGACCTCAGATGAGCCCATGCAGACGCTCTGCGGCTCTTGTTTAGCATTATATTTTATTGAAACGCTCCAAGTGCCTGTGCCTAGAACTAGAAGACATGTCCCACAATACTTCATGTCTACAATACAATACACAATGGGTCATGTCTTCTAGACTAGCGGCCATAAATCTTTGAACTATAAATCTTTGATATAGTTATACTTATAGTATAAATTATACCATTAACATATATCTGTGTATATGGTGATTTAATATATGGGCAATTCCATGAAAAACGTTCACTCACTCAAGTAAAAACAGTGAAAAAAGTGTTTTTGTGAAGTCTAAATCTTCATATTTTAAGTCATACTGACTTTCATCACAACACCGATGCTGAGGCTCACTGAAAACAATTTTTTAGGTATATTTCTTTGACATGCTGTTTTATGAATATATATTTGCCAATCATGTTGTAGTATAGTACCATATCTAAGGTTAGTAAGTACTTCATAATGTAATAAATTCACTTGAATTGCATGTGATATGAATCAGACTCCTGTTTTCTTACTATACATGAAGGCATAATTCCTTCAGAAGAAAGTGTGATAGCTTGGAACAAAGTGGACAAACTGTTATGTCTGTTACACAGAAAGTGTGATATATGTCCGTTATTTACGTACCATTTTCAGAACGATAGTCGCCTAAAAACATTTACAGTTGTGTTCAAGAAGGTTATGATTATGTTATGAGAAGGTTATGGATGTGAATTAGACAAAAACTGGAAAGATGTAGCCATAGAGCTCACAGAGTTTTCATGATGTGTGCAGTACAGTGATAACCCTTGTCCGTTTTCTGTCATGACCGTTACGGAAACTAAATGTCCAATCTCTGAGGAACTGTTCAGTGAAATGTCACATAATTAATTTTTGTCATGTATTTCCGTGGCTGTTTAATGCTACTAATTCACAAAGTATAACACGATTTATTAAAAAAAAATTTGATCTTACTGTCTGACTGTCTGTCTAACAGAAGAACTGTCTGACTGTCTTGTGGAAAACTTCCTCTCTGTATATTAAACACAGGGCCAGGCCATTCCTGAGAACAACATCAGGCAACTCGTACTGGAGCAGTGGTTAGTAACTGACTTAAAAGATCTAAAGTGTGGGTCTCTACCAAGTGGCTTGTGTCAAATGCACACAAATACCCTTACAGGATCTCATGCTCTGCAGGCAAGTGTGTGTGTGTGTGTGTGTGTGTGTGTGTGTGTGTGTGTGTGTGTGTGTGCGTGTATGGTGGTGGTGGTGTGAGGGGGGGGGGGGGTTATCAGCATTGGACAATTTTACTGACTGTCATATGTTTTGTGTGTACAACATAAAAATTTTGATATGCAGTGAATTGAATGCAACTATACCTCTAAGGTCTACAGCCAGTAAACCTGATTCTCATAAACCCAATTCATACCATTTGCCATGTTTTAATGAAATTTCATGCAACAAGCAATATTTTCACATGTCTGCATATTTGTCAGGTTGAATCTTTTATGGATGTTAGCAAACCAGCCTATAGTCAATTGCAGCAGCTGTGCGGCAAGGCAAATGAAAATGCTCTTATAGATGAATCCAAACCAACACAGACAAATGTGAGTAATATGTTTACTAGCTTCCCCATCTTACACATGATGTAAAAGGTCAATGCTTTGAACTTATAAAGTGTAATTTGTACTTTTACTTACTCTACTAGTTAAAGACCACGCACTAAATTTGCAAAAGAGCATAGTACACATTTGACTGTATGTGTAAACTTTAATAGACTGAGAATATAAAAGTATAGTGCACTGACCATTTTTACACTTACCAATAAAATCAATACTTTTCCTTTGAGAATTTCTAGGTGATAATGTACCAGTAATTCCGTTTGGTTATCTGATATTACGAGTGATAGGTTGATTCCCCCTTGATTTCAGTGGGAGCCACAATCAGGCAGAATGCTAATGATGGACATAACAGATGGAGTGCAGCTTCTAAAAGCAATGGAGTACAAACCCATCTCTGCTCTAACTCCAGATTTACCACCTGGAACAAAGGTGTGTTAATTATATGTTAAATAGAACCCACATTAGAGTTATCCTATAAAGACATTCTTATTAATTAAAATTGTTATTATTAATTACTATATAATGTTTACGCCACAATATTTTTCATGGTACGTAGACATAAATTTTGCAGGTTATGGTCCAGGGACCATTACTGGTGAAGCTAGGCACATTGTTACTTAAACCAGAGAACATTAGAGTGCTTGGTGGGGAAGTGGATGCTCTACTCCAGACACATTCACGCATTGCACTACTTTCTCAGGCTGTGTAAGTATAATTTTAACAAGTAAGCTTGATACAATGGCCCTGGGCTATGATGCAGCTGATCAATTAGCGACAGAATCCGTAGTATTTTTTGTTGTACATTTGAGCAATAATGTTAGTTGCGTGTAGACAAAACTAGATCAAGTGTTTCTTGTATCATGTTGTAGAGGGGAAGAATTTCCTGTGGAAGCCATTGTTCAATCACAGGATGATATAGCTGTTTTGGGGACAGCAGAAGAAAGTATGGGAGCACAGACTGCAGTGGCCAGATCTACGACAGGATCTATCTGCAGTGAAAGCCTGGTACATGCACGTTGCACTTGAAGTATTTATGCAATTGGCTGAGTCCATGTAAAAAAATTCACTAGGAAGAAATGTCATGTTAGTGAGTGTCATATATCCAACAAGGACTATTTAACAATTAATAATAATTTTAAGTTATTTGACAAGGGATGCCATGTTTATTCAATGTTGTAGCCACCTCAGCTGCGTGGCCCCATCGATGATGATCACTTACTGGAAATGATGGATACCAATGAACCAAACTTCTTGCAACCACAGAAATATGATACTCTGGTAAGTTATATTTACTATTTGATATTAATAAATTGCACTGATAATGTTGAGTTGCTAATATTCGAATTATTTGGTAATATTACTTTTGTAAAAATGTTGGTATTTAGCAGAAGTGACAGAGGGAAGCTGGTTATCCAGGTGAGAAGAGTGAGAAGGTGAGGTGAGGTGAGTTGGTTCACTAAAGCTGAAATATACATTTTAGATGGAGGATGATGATATAGATGACGAGCTACTGATGGAGCATCTAGACTTTCAGGGTCAAGCAGCACATTCCAACTCCAGCGGTACACACCTTAGTGGTCTCAGTTCAACACGTGACCATGATGGTCATCATAGTGCTGCACATGTGCAGGGAGCTGACAAGGCACGTTACACTACAAGTCCTGCTGATCATTGTGCCACCCATGAGAATCCATCTGATGGAAGGCATCCATCTGCACAACCAGGGAGTGTAGGCGGGCGTGGAGATGGCAGTCGTGTTAGTTGGCCACAGAATCTCGAAAATGGAGGTGTGGATTGCCAGCAATCCAATCCAAACTCATGTAAGCATGGAGTGTCAACTGTTGCCCAAGGCGCACAGGCAACAAAGTCGGATTCTGCCCAGTTGAGACATTCACCGATCAATAGTGCGTTTTGTACGGCACTAGGAGGTCACATAAGTGCAGCGGGAGACAGTTCTCCTCACACAAATCAAGCAACGACACATGGCTCAATGCCTGATAGTGCCATCGACATAACAGATGAAGAGCTTTGTCGTGTTGATGATGATTTTGAAGATTTTGCACCGGCAAGGAAGATAGGAAGAATTGGCCATCACGGAGATACACTTCAGGAGACTCGGTGTAAATCTACTGCAGTCGGTGCAGTGTCTGGTATAAACTGCAGCAGTGGGCAGAAAAAGGTACCGCCCACGCTTTGTCCTGGATTGCCAAACACACGCAATGTGTCTCCAGACACTCTGTCGTTTCGTCAAGGTTTTGCTAAGGTTGAGCACCCTGAACAATCGTTTTCTCATGTGGACAGCCTACAGAACATGCTTGCCAATTCTACATGGAGTTCGGCCGTAATCCGGGTAAATTATTCAGAAAAGAATGTATTCATGGGGTTTTAGAAATGTTCATTTATAATGTAGGTGAATCATGCACGTAGATGGTGTGGTAATCTTTGTGGGGAATAATAAAAGTTGTTGTGTATGAGCAGCAGTAAATAACATCTACTGTAACAAATTTAGTGAATTAACAAAGTTTGGAATATTATGTCATAGGTCAGTGCTGTTAGTGTTAGTTAGTGAACTGTATTTTCAGGGATTCGTGTCAACCCTTACGTCAAAATTGGAGAATGACAAGGGAAAGTTGTGGAAGCTCACGGCCAGGCTCAGTGATGGGACCTCTTCTCTCAATGTTGACCTTGGAGATGAACTGCTGACATCGCTGATTGGATTCAGTGCTTCCCAGTGCAACGAAATGAAGGCTCGAGTCAAGCATGATCCGGCGATTAAGGATAGAATACTCAGTGTAATGTATCATTCTCCTGCCAACTCAATAACATAGATTGTATTTAGAGCAATTGAATGTATTTTTTAACAGATGTGGTTGATACTCAATTTTCTGTCAAATTCTGTTTGTCTTTCATGACAGAAGTGTGAGTGCTTCTTTGACACAAATGTGGTTTAGTTTAATTGTCATCAACTATTTTCGTGGTGGTGTGCGTCTAAAGCATTGCTTAGGTGTATGGGCAACATCCTATGCATGATCCTGACTGAATTTAGTAATGTTTGTAATTGTAGGCACTTGCCGATTGCCAGGTAAAATTAGCAAACCTATATGGCGTGCTGGACATCCAGATGCAGAGTAGTCATCAGCGGCCAGTGCTAGTGTCCTGCCGATGTTTGACCGAGCATGATGTTGAAGAGATACCGACACATTTAGAGGTGTGCAAGACCATGGATCCTGTGCCTTACCCTGAACTGTGTGGTGCAGACAGAAGCAAGGCCATTGGTATTGAAATCCTACTGGTGTAAAAACTTGTAGTTTCTATAATATAGTATTATATTCCATATTACATGTTATGTAAATATCCATAGTTTACATCTATAATTAAAATTTTTATCATCCAGTGAACTAATTGGAGTGGGATTAAGAAGGATAAAATGTTTTGCTCCCTATTCGCAGGTATTAAGTTACATATCAAGGATTTACTACCCTTATTAAAAAATGTGACTAAGATTAAATTTAGGGTGGGGGTTATAATTTAATAAATTCAAATATTCTAGAGTAATATTTTACCATAATTAAATCAATCATTACATTGTAAGTTGTGTAATTACTGATGAATTGTCAATATGCTGCATGACAGGTGCACTAGATTGTCTACCATTTAGCAGCCTGGACAAAGTGAAAATATTGCTCCCCCACATCACAGGAAAACGTGTAAAATTTAAGGTAAAGTGCATAAAGGTGTGACAGTAAAGCAGCCACATGGCTAAGTCTGATATTTTGTGTCATTTTAGAAACTGGGTAAAACCCAAGGATTATTCTCTGTGTGTAATCACAATCTACACTAGTATTTGTCAGAGAAAAGTTGATTATGCAGTATGTATTTTTATACATCACTCATGTTGATTTCCACAGGCTGCTTTTCAGCTATGTCCAAACACGTATGTACAAACAGTGTTTTACTTTTAACAGGGGTTCATTGCAGCCATTACATCTGAGATTAATTCTGGTGGCCAGTCCTGGGCTATGCAGGCGACAGTTAGTGACGGCACGGCTTACTTGGAGGTAGAACTGTGTGACCACTACGTGTCAGCACTATTGGGATTCACTGCAGCCGAGAGTAAGATGGTAAATGCCACTGACATGCAACAGGTAGGTTACATTTAGTTTCGTTTTCATATTTTTGCGTATTACCTCAATTTTGTGATTTTGCATGATCCAGCACTTAAAGACAAATGTTTGCACAGTTTCCAATTTCACTGTATACGGTATGTCTATGTCTCTTTTTTACTGTATATAGTTTTTAGAGATGTCTTAGATGAGCAATTTCCACCTGCTCTAGGCTGGCAGTAGTCTTCGGAGCCACCTGTACAATCTCTATGGAGTCTTCAGCGTTAATGTAGAAGCCAATCAACAGCGTCCGATTGTAACCTCATGCCGACCCGTTACGCAGGACGATCTGCATCAGCTACGGCAGACAAAAGCTAGGTGACCGTGATCATTACTAGGTTTTGTTATTGATAGATAATTTGTCAGTCGTATTTTTGTAACTGTTGGCTTGGATAATGGTGTAAGCTTTCTAAAACATGAAAAAATGTCACTAATGACCTTCGCCAAGCCTAATAGCTATCAGTTTTCTTGCATTGTATAGTGAAGTGCCTAATAGAATATGACGGGACATGGCACAAGATGGAAAAGCATTGTTCAGTTACTTTAGCAGAATTTGTGTCGTAACCCATGAGGGATTATTTAATTTGTTCTACTAGTAACCATAATAAAATATTGCTGAATTGTGAGAATAGTATTAATTGTGTGTGCTCATAGTCTCATTGTCTCAATCACATCAATTTTCTAGGACCAAATTCAGAAATAAAATGCAAAAATATACTAGAATTACTGGAGACATGCACACTTTATATACACATTATATATACACATTATATATACACACACTCTTATTTGTAAATTGAGCACTGACTGTAAACTAGCCTTAATGAGGAACAATACGTGAGGCCACAAATATGTCATAACTAGCTGTTAATACGTTAGATGGGTAGATGATGGTCTATATTATGCATGTGTGTACTTCACTCACACATGACGGCTTTGGCAATTATACCAATCTACCACATTGAAAGCATTATTGTAATCATTTCACCACAGACCTCAAATGGTAATATATGGTATAATTTTCAAAATAACTTGGAGACGGTTTTACATGTCAGATTATAACTATCTAAAGCAGACACTACGAATATTCAGGTTTTTGTGTTGAGAAGTTGAGCAGTGTCAGATTCCTCACAAATACTGATTGATAAAGATAAAGTCATGCTTATAACTAATGAAATCTGACCAATAGAAGCAATAGACAAGTGGATTTCTTCAATTTAAAACCAGCACTGCTTAAATATTTTTGATTGAACATGGCTGATTTACCTTCACCCGTCTTATTTGTGTTTTTCAAGTAAATAGAGTCATTAAAACCGAAATCATCTCACGTCATAGCAAGGAATTAATATTACTACAATGTTTTAGTGAGCAGTCAGTATTATGTAGCTACAAGTGAAATATTTATACCCGTGTAAGAACAGAAACATCATAATATAATGAAACAATTACATAGTGACTTTTGGTCCGGTCAGTATCTTGTTTTATACAAAAATGGGATACACCACGGTCCATGTATTGTAAGACATCACACTGACCTAAAAATAGCTTGTAATATTGAATCAATGTCTACTAAATAAAAAAGAATACTGACACTACACGTGTAACTGTGGAAATAACAGAGAGTTAGTTATTCACAATCGTGTAGCTATCCTACCTTGTAATGGCTAGCTATAACTAGTCGTGCTTGAATAATTTCTATGTACCAGTAGCAGGCAGGGGAAAAAATAGAATTTATTTTTCGGGGGCTACTTTTCAAGCTCGCGTGCATGAAAATAGCACTCTAAAATTTGGTTTGCCTTGAACTCTATGCAAATTTCTGGGGGTTCTTTTTGGCATTTCCGGGGCTCTTTTTGGCATTTCGGGGGCTAAATCGCCCGAGCCCCGTGTATTTTTTGCACTGGTAGCAGGTACACTACAAGGAATTAACACGTTCTCAATACCCTACATAACACTTCTTCTTGCAAAATGCAGTGTAATCATAAATAATGTGAGACCATATGCTATCAACGTGTACATAGCACATTTAACACTGCATTTTATAACTATATAATTATTTTAACTTAAATATTAAATGCAATCAAGATAGATAGATAATTATAGTGTCTGTATAAATACACACTACCCGCACATCTCTATACTTATACAAGAATACACAGTCAGCTCAACAAGCATAAACATAGTAATTAATATTACACTGCCTCTCATTGTCTCACATCTCATCTTGCTTCCAGAAAGTTACATCTAATGCATGGTAAACAGTAGACACTAGAATTGGCCATAAAGCACATCCCAACAAGAAAAGAATAATAATTATACAACAGTTTTACTTGTGGCAAGATATTTTTTGTTTAAACGTTACAAGTCTGGCATTTATGTACTCTCAGGTGTCTTTGGCCCAGAACCCTACACACCAGTGATTAACAAGGCTTTTGCTTAAGTCAGCTCACCTCTAATGCTGATATAATAAATATTTAGCAGCACGTTAATCATGCATACATGGATCAATAGTTTTTGCACGTATGGTACGTTGGAATTTACACGTACTCATACTCGTAGTACCACCCAATGCCAGATTAAGAGTGCCTGAGAGCACCTTGGTGCCAGACTTAATCCGTTTCATGTCCTATTATATAGTTACAGGGAACTCATGTAAGGTTAATTTATTTAATTTTCCTGTAACTCGTCCAACTTACAGTGTATAAATTTCAAATAAGGGTGTAATAGCGGCCAAGTCGCATATACTATATTTTGCTATTATACATATATCAGGAGAGTTTTTATTCACTCCCGAGCTATATATTAGTGGTGCAACAATTAATCGCAATGTAATTAATCGTGATACGATGTCCATGATATGATTCACGATAGAGTTCCACATGAGTATCAATATGTTATGATACGGAAAAAAGAAATCTGAGCTTAACTCAAGTTAAATGCCCACTTGATGCCTTTGTTGGGTTATCAAACTCTCAGTCAGGCGCACCTTACATGTTTTTGTGTGATAAAAGAAGCATGCTGATTTGACAATGCCATATTCACTGTCTAATCCCTGTGCATTGTGAATTCTGATTCTATTTAAACAAAATGGAATACTGTTTCCCAAAAGTTACGCACACAACGTGAATGTGCAGTTGCCGTTTCAGCTAGGTGATTGGTTATAGTTATGTATTTGCTTTAATCTAATTACGCATTGCATATTGAGACAGTTTTATTACCTTAGGATGTACTATATTGTGATTGTATCCTATTGTGGCCCAAATATCATTATATGTATCATACCATGGAGGGATCATCATCATCATCATAGGCATATCGTTGCAGCCCCCATATATATATATGTATATAGATAGATAGATAGATATCAATAAATAGATTGAGTATACTATAGTAACTGGAATCTCTTATAATCTGATAAACATATCAACTATAACTATTCGTGGTTGCTATATGTTTTCCTGTCACTATGTTGATTTTCTAAATGATGTTAGATACGATTAGTAACTTCTCGGTGATATCTGGTTGAGTGATTTGACTGCATCGTATAGGCGTATTCGATAGTTTATAAGCCTCTCCCAGTCCTTCTCGTTCCAGAGCAGTACATTGTTTCTGTGTGCCTCGTTGTGAAATGAGCTATCCCTAAGCTCATACCTGTCTCCAAGAAAATACAGAAATCATTTATGTTTATGTGATATAACACACTGTACGAGTTGGTCATTTTGATGTAAATTGCACCTGCTTGGGTACATGCATGGCAGATAAAACTCATTGGGTTAACGCATGCAATTTATCGCATAAACAATTTTGGTTTTCATAACTGCTCACACTAGTTGGCTGGAACTTAAATTCACATTTTTAATAGATTTCAATATTCACCAAAGACAACAACAAGTACCAGTACCTTATAATAGGACTTCTAAAACACCTCCTTCAGTACACGTTTCTGGGTAAAATGAGAAGATAAGATTGACAAAGTGTTATGCATGCACATGGGCAGATATGTAACATTTACATTGCAGTGAGTTCTCAAATAGTTACGACCTAATGTCCTAGAAAATGTCTAGAGACCTGCTTTAAAATTGGTTTACTTTACATTTTAATTTAATACCATCTGGGTTTTGGTCCTCGAATGCGTTCCAGTTCTTCTATCATTTTCAGCTTTAGCATTTGCGCTTCCTCCAATTTCAGTTGTTGCATTCTTAACTCGCCTAGTCTGTCAGAGAATGGTGTCGAACTAGAAAACCCTGCAAAAATGTAATACAAATCTCCCATTACATTCATAAAAATGCTTGGGAACAATATTGAACATAGCATCAAGAGCTCATAATAGAGATGATATAGAAGATCTCTATTATAAGCTCTTGATAACATACAACTGCCTGTTTCTACTGTGTTAGCAAGGAATTAGGTTTAACAAGTTTCTTAACTGAACAAAGCAAACTATATTTTATTACAATGCTACAACTTTTATTCAAATCTAGTTTTCTCTTTCAATCACTGATTGTCAGGTTTTTAAATTGTTAAAAAACGTCCAATCATTAATGAGGGATATCACGGCTCTCTATTTTACATATTATAACTCATATTATAAACCATATATATATTACAGCTATGTTATAAAAAGTGTAACTTTTAATTATATGTACTTCCACTCTGTCCAATTAGAATAAAATTCAACTTGAGAGTAACAAAAGCTCTTGCTATATTAAAATAATAGTAACATCAACAAAACCAACATCAACAACAGCAACAACAAAAATAAGAATAATGATAATAAGGTAGAACAGTGTACCTGCCATGTCTGTTGTCACAGTTCCATAGCCAGAAGATGTAACAGCAGGAGGTGAATATGACCATGTTCTATCCACAGCACTTGGAGACAAGTCATATTTCCTAGGCGGTACTATAGGCTCGGCAGATTCATTGTCTGCACTATAATTCAATTTGGGAAGATCTAGCCCACCAAGCGTTACAGGAAAGTATTTGAGCACAAGATATTTGTAGTTAATTTCACCTGTGTACTCTGACACTGCAGGACTACTTGACCTTGACATGGAGTGGGACTTATTATTATGATTACGTTGGTTATCTTCAGATCTAATGGAATAATGAGGTGGATCTAGAAACCAAGGGTTCTCATTTCCAGTCATGCTCGTTATCGGAGAACTAGAATGATCAGACAAGCTTTCTTCTATGCTAATACTACTGCCTAGGTCCAATGAGGGCTTAAATTGATTTTCCCTATCGTCACTGTCGATCAGCTGTTTTAATCTCTCCTCTGTGCTACTAGTACTTTCACTGTCACCATCAAGAAGCTTGTTTTGTGGCAAATCTTGTTTCACACCGTTATCTACGAAACTAACATTCTTTTTGTAAAAGTTATTTAAACTAGCATTTAGATTTGATAGATCTAAGGCCAGGTCGAGAGAGGCATTTTGGTTCTCAGAGCCACTGTCCTGAGATTCGGCATCCGAGTTGTGCTCTTGCTGATCTGACGAATGTGACAGTATCACAGCAGAAGCTGATGCAGGTCTAGGTGTCTCTCTGACTGGAGAGTACTGTGTTCTTGTTGTTTGTGCTGATCTTGTAATGCGTGGCTGGCTGCTCGCTAGGGTTTTGTTAGAGTTAGACGGTGGCTGTCCAGTCTTTGCCCTAAGTTAAATTTAAATGAAAAAGTGATATAGCCAATGAATTGAGATCAATGGCACTGCAGTGCGAGGAAATTCTAAACAGATATAGTCCGTTAAAGCCAGTATTTCGAAATCATTGCATTTTTCGCTTGAGCGAAAATAGAACAGGTTCTAATCACCCAACCAGTTGCTATTAACCAGTTGCGCGCGTGACTTTTACGTTTACACTGCGGTTGTATAATTGCAAAATTGGTACAATTCTTCAATTTGTCAGCATAAGCCCAGCTTAAGGGTGGAACCCCATTTATGGCACAAATTAACCTAACACGATGCACAACCTGCTAGTTAGATGGCTACATGAAGTTTTGCATGGAGGAGAAATAAAGATAAAGTAAAACAGCATTGCATGCTATAACAGTGTGTACTATATGATTGGTGGAATTATATCGACCGAGGTTAGGGGTTATATGGATTATGTTTGGCATTATGGTCTCTGAGGCACTCAGTTTGGTCCAGAACCCTGCCCACTGGTTACTGACAGAGTCTGCATGCTCCGTTTTCTAATGCATACGATCAGCTCACAGCATGTTGATATATTCAACCTCACTTTAGCATGCACACAAGAATCCATAGTTTTTGCATGTATGCATGGCACGATAGAATTTACATGTACTCGCAACATGATCTATAAATACTAGATAAATAGTGCCTGAGACCCTAAACGTGGGGTCCTAAACCCTGCTTGGGCTGCCTGAGAGTACTTATATGCTAGACATAATCCCTTTAAATGTACCAGCACGTCAATTTTGGCTGAAAATCTAGTGGACAGCAGGACCACCAACTTCAGAAAGTCGGTGGTCCTGCACAAAAGTTGGTGGTCTGCTTATTTACTAGCAGTGAGTAACAACATGGTATATAAAAATAACCATTGGCATTAACACTAACAGCATACATGTATGTAACATAGAGTTGGTCAAATAATATATTTCAAGCTCTAGGAATGTCGGGGAGCTTCTGGGATAGTTTTACTTTCGTTTTTCTCCTCCCCAGTCCTGGGTACCCCCATGCATAGATCAATGCTGCCGCACATCTGCAAAGTTACAAGTGCCTAGAATCTTGAAGTATATATACAGTTTACATTGCTTCTAGATATCTAACTGAATTACAATAGTCCACTTTCTACGTAAAGAAAAGTGCCGAATTCAATTAACAGCTTTGATTACGTGCGTGTCAGGTGTCACTGGTCGTGCCCTCACTCCCCACGATAACCCCTGCGACATATGAACTTATTGTTATGCGGTCATAAAAACACTGGGCTACGCTACATGCTGCAATCGATTTCTTAGACTGTCACGAGGTTTTGTTCGTGTGGCGAATCATAATTGGAGGATGTTTTGGATACCCCGTCTACGTTCAGGAACGGAGCGTATTAGAATGCGCTCCCATTTACAAGTCTGTCTAAACTGCCGTTGCGATAACTGTAGTATTTCAGCGTAATATGAGGTGGTGGCCGAAGCAAAAACTTGGTGGCCTCGGGCCTCCGGGTCGGCACTAATTTCGAACGCTGTTTGCATGCCACATTTGCAAAAACGCATGGGCACATATGAAACCACGCTAACAGTAACACGGCGACAGGTTTTAAATCAGCATTATCTTTCTTTATATAGGAAAGCCGTGTCCGCCGAGTGTTGCGATAAATCGAAATCTGAGCACTTGTTTTGCGCTGTGTTAACGCCGAACAAAAATTGTACTCGCCCAAAGATTTATTTTGGGCCTGTAATATTTTGTTTTTGGTATTTTTTAATCGCCCAGCAGAGGTTTTGGTCGCCATTGGCGACCGGGCAACCGGCTGTGTCGAGCACTGAGTAGTGCTAGCACTTTGAGGAATAAATGCATAAATACATGGTGTAAAATTGTGGAAAGTGTTCAAAACGATAGGTGAGAGGTCCATATATATAAATAAGGCCGAGAGGGTCTATGTCCCCCGGGGTACTGCCGGAACGTACCCTGGGTACGGTCCGGTATATACCGGAACGTACCCTGGTACTATCTAATATGCCGAACCGTACCTTGTCTACTCCACTAACGAGTCTAGGGAGTCGCCTACGCCTACTGCCTAACCCGAACCCTAATCCTAACCCTAACCATATCAAATAGTGACCAGGGTACGTTCCGGTATACCGGACCGTACCCAGGGTACGTTCCGGCAGTACCCTGGGGGACATAGACCCTATGAGCATAAATAAGTGTTAAAATGCCCGATCATTTTGCGCTTTGTAAGGCCTTTTTCGTGGGAGCAGAAAAAGTGACAGGATTCAACATAGAATATTCTATAGCCCTGCGGCGGAACGAAGTGCTATAGTACTAGAGCTAAGGTACAACCTTGGGTGCTAATACTATTAGTATTAGTATTACTAGGACATGCAAATTGATTGATGCATTTAATAACCACACAAATTTTTAGTGTAGATGTGAAATTCCTTCCCATGTTGATGTTCCACAGTTTGCAAATGTTATATGACGCATGTTAAAGCAGCCACATTTAAGTCTAAGGCGAATGCGTAGATCGGTGGACTAGTTTTTATTACCTACTCAATAATATTAGTCTAACTCTAAATTCAGCAGGGGGGATGCCACTAGGGACAGCGCGTCTCCCAAGTCCGAAATAGTAGGTTTCAGGGGAGAGATAGTGATCCGCTAGATGGCGCATTATTAATTAACAATTAATAAAATCAGTTAACCCTAACCCTAACCGTATCCCTAATTAAAAATAATAATAATAAGGCCCTCTAGGGAGAGAATTCGGTACCATGGGAGACGCGCTGTCTCTAGTCGCAGCCCAGCGGGGGAGCCTAAACTAAACTCTATAGACTATAGACTATAGACTATAGACAGTCTCTAAAGCAAATGCTAAACTAGCTCCAAGAAACGGTATTGCTAGGGTTAGAATACCCAATAGTACATTGTATAGACAATCCGTCGCACAGCCTGGTCGGGCTAAGGCTAAACTAGCCTTAAAAAAAATTCTTCTTTAGTAAAGTAAAGAAAGTAAATCCACGGCTAAGCTTACCAAATTGGTGACGCTTTTCCGCGTACTGTCAAGTCAGAAATGTTTCTTCTCCGTGGCATCTTATCATTTTGATAATGTGACTAACACGCGCTTTAATATCAATCGGGTTTATCCAAACCTAAATGTACTGATATCAGAATAACACTAAAATAACAACGTTTTCTCTATCAGTAAAATTTTCAGTCGCCATTTGTTTACTCCACACTCTTGCGACACCTAGTGGTTACATTTAGAAGTTACGATGATACCTGAAAGTAGATAGCAGACCACCATGGGATCCTATAAGTAATATTACTAATAACTATAAGAATTGAATTTCAGGGGCTGAAAATCATTATTTTGACTCGGACTGTTTTCTGCCGAGTGGCTAGATAGCCATCTACTTCAGCTGTGTTCCACGAGAGTTTGGTCATATGTTTACCGGCGATTTAAAAAATAATGAACAGGGACACCATGATTTGACAAACATTTGTGCTTGGTAAACAGTCGCGCAGTCGAACAGATCCATGGTTTGAGAGAATTCATTTAAAAATACCACTACCACTTACTTTAATTAGTATTATATTTAATACCAGTAACCATCCACCCATTCTGACCCATATGCATGCCTTCGGCACACACATTAGAATATTTTCATTGTGGTCAAGTAACATAAATCTGTATCACCTTTCCGTTTTTAGACTCAACAACCAAATCTGTTTCTAGAGGAGAAATATTACATCAGAATGGATACACTGGTTCCTTTCGGAAGGTAACTTTATTTTACTGTTCCTTATGTGTATTTTGTCCAATATATTATTGTGTATATAGGCCTATTGTGTACATCACTACATGTGTATCATGTGTACATGGTCCAAGATTGTCTGCTAAGCAGAATTAATAGCTGCCATTGCAAAGCCAAGGCACCTCAACACTAAAATTCGTGAGGTATTTATTTGGTACATGCGCCTCTTAGTTGGTTTCATATAATTTAATTGGTAACCTTGTCTCACCACTGCAGGTGTTCCAAGCGTGTGACCAGGCAAAAGTCCCAAAATTCTTCTGCAAACTCTAACTTGCCAAAAGGAGAATGTCACATATCAAGCAAATATAGACACATTGACAAGTTAACAGTTTGGAACAATGAAACCAGGTAAATGACTCTAATCGAATAGGATCTACACTATGTGAGGTCACCCGATAGGCGATACTGTTCAGTGTCATTTCAATGACTTTATTTGATAAAATAGACTCATCATAGTATAGACTCATCGTCATTATAGGCAAATTTAATTTCTGTTCGTCTAGACGTCAAACTGGATCTGAAGCAAGCAATGAAGAAGAAGCATATGGAGCTTTTGGAATGGCGAGTAAACGTATTCCATTGTTTCTGGATTCTCTTGTTTTTATGAATATACCATTGTGTGAACACTTAGATGTTATATACAGAGTACCTAAATTATCTGCGCAAAGTGTGGAAATGTACAGGGTTTTAATTAAGTGCATATACAGTCTCGGTGGAAAAAATAAACTATATAATGCATTATTACAAAATTCTAATCTGGTAATTAACCTCATACGATTTAATATTGAAAGTCCAAGGAACTATACCGAAGACGGAGAGAGACAGAGTTGATAAAATAGACAGATAAATACTGCAGATCGCAGGAGCAAAAGTTTAAAAATTAAAGTTTTAATTTAACAATTAACAGAAGAATAAAAAGAATTGGAATGAAAATGTAAATTTCAGGTCACAGGTGCATCTGTGGCAAGGGCGCAAGCCCCTATAACAAGAGAGATAGATAACCAAACTGAATGGCAACTGGACATTCCGAGACAAAATTACACACTAGCAAGGGCAGAGTTGCCACGCCCATTTTCCCTGCGCAGAGGAAAGAATAAATCGGGCAAGCGAACCCAGAGCAGAAAACTAGTGTTTGACGATCACCTGATGGAGCTACGGAAGAAACGATCGCAATTCAACTGGTATTTTCACGATTGTTAATTTTAGCCATAGAATCAATCAGGTGTCATGAATTCAAATGTGTCGCACACATCTTCTAAATGTATGGATACACTTAAATAAGTGAAAAACCCATATCTTTAGCAATAACTTCAGAGATCAAGTTACCCCCTCTATTCTCTCTCTCTCTTCCTCCCCCTCTCTCTCTCTATCTCTCCTGCCAAATCTCTCTTTTATCCCATCCATCCATCGATCTCTCTCTCTCTCTCTCTCTCTCTCGCCCTTTTGCTATCTGTATTTTCTTGGTATCTTCCTCTTTCATTCGACATCACTTGCTGACATCAGGAGACTATATTTAACTGTTATAGGGCGAGACACGGCCACAGCGACCTCTCCTACGTCCTCAAGAAAGAGTCCCGTGACGAGACGTGTCAGTTGACATCAGAGTCGTCTGCCAGTGCGAGCTATGGTTTACCTTATAGTGACCGGGGAGGCCCAAGCGGACAAGATTGGGAACTGTGGAATGACAAGGGGTCGATGATTCATCCAGACATCCTTCACGAGCAGGGGGAAACCCGTGAATCGGGATGCACCTCCTTTCTCACTGATGCAACAGTGAGTTTTTTTAACATAGAACAGCGCTTGCAGCTTGTGTTATGATGTCAGACTCTTGCTGGGATAAATGTTTTGGAGAGGGAGTGAGAGAGTGAGAGAGAGAGAGAGAGAGAGACAGAGAAATATAGGGGGAAAAGGAGTCAAATTTGTTCTGAAGCAGACTTAATTAAAGATGATTAATGAGTTGGGGTTTAGGCCCCCTTTTAACTATTTTTAAAAACTGAACTTTTATAGAATATAGCATATAATATTCGAAAGTAGAAAATGTTTGGTGTATTTCCTCGAAATCCAATGAAATTTTATGCTCTGTGTTATGCCATCGGCAGAAGCAATTCGTTGAGGAGATAACACCGCCCTGGCCGACCGAACATATCAGCAGACGACTGCAGGATCTAGGGCATGGTGGAGCAAACTCTATCGGTGCACGCGACATGCAGTCGTTCGCTACAATGTGCGATTACGCTCCTGATGCACCTCGTGGCACCCTCACGCGGCAACAGTTGGCAGCACGACAGCCATTTCGTGACGATTATGTTTACCCTACAAAGGCACAATGTGGCGCCCTCGCACGGCAGCGATCCGCAACACAACTGCCATTTCACGATGCCGGTGTTAAACTCGGTTCGGCAAGCCAATATAGCAGCAGAGATGCTCAGCTAAACAGAAGCGAATTGGCCTGCGTAGGTAGGCCCGGCACTGCGCTATCGACCATAGCTGGACAGAGAGGGCGCCACCAACCCACGAGCTTCGTCGACGACATCGTGTCCACGTTGGTCTCAGAAGTGGGCGAGCTTGGACAGGAAGATGTTGGCTTCACCGCTCGACGTGTGTGCGACGTCTCGGCATTATTCCCAGCTGAGCCGACACTAGGCGGAGCCACCGAAACTGCCGTGAACGCATCCACCCGTTTCGACGTGAATGCCTGCGTGCTGCCCCGTCGTTGGAGGGAGGCGGGTTACGAGGTTAACGACGGGATGGCAGCATTGAACCATGCTGGCTGGAAGGATGAACTGTCGAATACTTCTCAGTTCCTGCATCCTGGCTTGTCTCTGGACGAGGATGGCCACGACGGAAGAAGCTGCAAACTCGTTAGGAGCGCGGCACTCTGCAGGACGTTTTACGAGGAGTGAAACACTTTCTTGAAGAATATTTCCCGCACTCGTCAATTAAATATAATAAATAATAATTATAATAATAATAATAATTAATAATCGGATAATTTAAATTTAATAGTACGTGTGTTCATCTGTGTGCACTTGCTGTGTGTGCATACGTGAAAACTGTATTTAAGATATGCGTCCATGTAACATATAGAAATTACAAGGAAAATAACACAAAAATGCTTATTTTATAAGCATATATCATTCTAAAATAAGAAAAACACGAAAACAAGATGATAACTTGTATGGTTTGTCAATTTAATTTTTCGAAACCATCATTACAAAACCAGTTGTTTGCATGATATAAATAGTGTGTAGCTCAACATGTGCAGATAAACCTTTGCATATCAGTGTATAGCAAACATCAGCTGAATGCACACTTTCAATGTTGTCGAGCAATAATATCAGAAAACCATATACATAGTTCGAACATATCCTTTTACAAAAGCGTGCTTAATTCGTCCACCGGAAACACGTACATAATTATTGTATCTATCTTAGTATGTAGAGTAACATCCCCTATAACAGCCACACAAACTACTGGAAACAGTTTCCAATGAACCCATGTTTGTTATAATGAATGTTGTTAACATGTTGCAAACTTGCAATGTGCAACATTTTTCTCATAACTGAAAAAAACTGGTTGCAATTGAATCTAATTCCTAATATATTCCTCATAATACGTAAATTGCTATTTATTTCATAAGGCCAAGGACACAGCATACCTAAGCACCGTGACCACCATTCTTCAGGTTTACGCCCACGAACGTTCATGGAATGCACCAATAGAGGGGTGATACTCCATTAGAAGTGTTCCCAACTTTAATGTCATTAATAGTCCTAATAATATATATATATATGGTCATGGTCATATATTAGTTTGTGGTTTAATGTCATTTAGGTTAGGGTTAGGGTTAGGATTATCAATCATTAATCATTAATGATATCAAAGTTGGGAACACTCCTAATGGAGCGTTAGCCATCCAAAGGAGCATTACACCATGCAGTCGTCAAATGCATTTGCAAGTCAAGTTCAGTTGCTAGTCTCAATGTCCACTATGTTGAAGCAGAAAACTACAGGATTAACCCTTTAATGGACCGATCTAGAGAGTTAGATAGGTGGTTTCCTTTCATGTTCTGATACGCATGTAGCAATAAAATAACTGTTGGCTCTAAAATTTTTGAAGCCACATCAAGTAGGGAAAAATGCAGAAAAAGGTAATATAAAAGGTCTTCGTTTTTTTTGCTAGCTCCAATCAAGCTTGCACACTGGCGCTTGCCACACTGGCATAACCACCGTAAAAAAATTTGCTACGTGCCCTGCTGAATTTTGACTGCAGAATGGTCAGTATCACATAATCACATTGTGCCTATGCCCCTGTGCGCATTACAGCACAACGCTGCCCTGTGCACTGCCATTAAAACCATTATTTCTCTCCATCGCATCTCACTGTCGTTGTCTCAAAAATAAATTAGCTCCAGAAATTAATCGCATTCGCGAACTTAGTCGCACTTACATTCACAATGCAATAAACTCGCAATACAATACAATCCCAACACGCATTCAGATTACTTGCTTCACTGCAATCGGAGGTGCTTCAGGACTTAGCTAGCCACACGACGGCCTCATAACGCTCACTGCCAACACAGAGCCTTGACTCGCCCGACTAAAAGTTGGTGCGGGAGATTGCAATCTTAAATGAAGATCCCAACGAGTTACCGTTGTGCAGGCAATTAGATAACGCCGACAACCATCGTTCAGATTAAGAGACAATGGCTGCAGATTGCATTTTTCACGACCTTCCTCCGCACACTCGGATATAGACACTGACAACTGATCGTACTCGTTCCAGTTTTAGATCGGCCGGCAGTGGCAGAACTTTACACTGTCAATATCAGGGCCGAATGCAAACATAGCCTACAAAGTGGACTGCGCACAGAACAAGTTTTGGCGTATCGGCAAATTAATCGATCGACGCATATACATACGGCAATTGTCGGGTGTGTTTTGTATCTTCCAATAGTGCTCCACTACTGTGCGCACATCACGACTACAATGGGTCTTTGCATGCAAAAATTTTTCAGGGCATCTCCATCGTGTTGAATCATAGCCGATTACATGAAGTCGTCATACGTCATGTCATATTGAGCTTCTTCGCTGTAATCCTTCACTGCGTCGGTGGCCATATTGTGCAACTTTGCACCTTTTTTCTTCTTAGATTTCGCTGGCTGCAAATAGAGAAAAACGCACGTACATACACCAAACAGCCAGTGGAGTCAATAAAAAAATACCTTGCCATTAGCCACCCATTGCAACAGTTTTCCTCTTCTTTACTTCAAAAATTATTCGTAACAGTGACAGAACTTACCTTGGCAGTTTTTATCTTTTCGTTTGCCATTACACTAAGTGTAGAGCTAAGTCTCTTTAGATCATCCGCTTCCACTAGGAAATAAGAGAACATGCTCAAGTTATGCAACAGGGTGGAAAGATGAGGTAATACACATAAGCAAAAACAGCTACTAAACGTTTAATGCTATTAATTCATATAAGTAAATAATAAGAATTAATGCCCAAAAAAATGATGAACACAATGCAGTTTAAGCCCGAAACAAACTTCTACGGAAGATAGATGAGGATCTTTATTTACACCTTGCTTCAAATGTGTTTCTATTAGTTAAAATTCATATCAACGTGCTTAATTAAACGTTCAACAGCGCATTTACTTACATCCGGCCGAGACGTCGCGAAATAGATTCTCTATAAAATAAATATAGTGCTCCGACCTCTGAAAAAAGAAGACTTTTATAGTGAGAACGATAAATTCACAGAGGTTACGTCCCTTGTACAAAGAAAACACAAACTATACAAGTTTGTATGTATGCATGCACATACACATTCCTAAGTTTAGGCACTTTTGCCTTCACTGATTTTAAAGCCAGTATTTCAAAACAAATTTTCAACCAGTCTCGTGTTTTCCCCACTTACGCGATACTTACCGTTATCGCTTGAGTAACAGCAACTGTGAGATGAGACATGTTTTTTCCAGATTGTGCATTTTTGAGCAATGATTTAAAAATAATTGCTTTAATAAATTCTCAGATATAGATCACGGTACTAGTCTAACCATATCTGACTTGGTGAGAATACTTTCCTCTAAAAATGGAACAAGAAAAAATAACTAGTTGAGTATCAATGGACAAAAAGTGGCGATGTTTTATCGTCTGCCAGCGCGCTAATACGCAAGTTCAACACGAACTGCTCGTTTGTTGTATCTCACCTCAAATTCTAGGATCTTGTCTTTTAAAGACTTTTCGAATTCGTCGAACTCTTCCCTGGATACAGGATGACAACCGTCTAAACTTCCGGATTCATTAGGTTCAGGCGTCACACCTGCAGAAGAATCGAGGCATAATCACAATCCGACTCAAAGTGTGATCGACAATGGAAGTCCGGATACTGAACCAATGTTTACGAATCATTTTGGAAACAAAAACAGATATTGGCTAAGCGTATAGAGGAGGGAGGCCGAAAATTTTACACATTGGCCTGGCATTATTGACCAATGTGACACGCAACAAGTTAAGCAACATTATACATTTCAAATTTTACATAGGGATATGAAGTATGAACGCTGTGGAAACAGTTGCCAGAACATCGTTGAGTGAAACAAGCCAGGAATGAGCCACTGCGACAGATATGCAATAAAATCTGTGTTAGCTGGCACTTCTACTGAACAGACAGACACATGTATACAAAAGCCACTTTTGGCATTGGCCTTGAGCAACCTTTTTTATACAGGTTAGATTGGTCCTTGGCTAAATGTGTCACCTATAAGGTCTTTGCTAATTTGAAAGTCGGCATCCTCTTGCAACTTTTGTAACCCAAGCTTCTCCTCCAGTGCCTCTTCAGGTGTAAGGCCTGCAGCCGCCTATAAGTAGTTACATCCTCGGTCAAACTCTTGGGAATGTAACAAAATAGATTACTGGGGCACAGTTAAGTTGACTGCAGTACGATTTGACAGCAATTGTTAACATTGTCTAACTAGTAAAATAGCTATAATAATGGGCTTTTAATTGTCACCTTTGCCTTTTCTGCTAGCTCTTTTTGCTTCTGTGCCTCCTTTTGAGCTATTTTCTCTTTTAAGGAAATCTTCTTTTTCACTTGAACTGCTTTTACTGTTGCATCTGTCGCAAAAAATAAATGATAAGAAAATGGTCACAGTGCATCATGGACCAGAACTTATTTCTATCGTAGAAATACTTTCCCATTCGTAATAAAGCTAGCAATTGCAGCTTAGTAGCAAATGTTTGCCACTAACACTTTAAATGCACACAATCTCCGATAGACCGGCATGTTTCACTGGTGGAATTTTGACACTGTTGACTTTTAATAGGTTTGCCACAATGTGACTTCACGTATGAAATGTATGAATGCTGAATGTTTAATGAAAGTGTCAATGACACTGTAGCTCACCACAAAAAAGGACACAAATGAGTGAGTAAGAAGAAGTCAGTTTTAATTGAGCAACCATCGACGTACATTATAGAAACGATTGCCATCTGTATATCGCAATAATAATTTATAAACCAAAATGAATCACAATTTGTGAGCGTAGATGGGCTTATACGCCGTTGGTAGCGATGGCGTTGAAATAAATAGGTTATGCTTGCGTTCCCGACATGTTTTGTAAATCTTTAACTCTAATATAGACGTTTTTAATGCGCAGGGTGGAGAGAAATGACCAATTTTTGCATTAAAGGATTTGTCAATGAATCTTGTTAAAACGAACGCAGAGCGAGTGTGAACCAACAGACCTGTTTTGTGTCTATAAATATGGCTAATATAATTGGCGCAAACCCTACCTAATTTGCATAATGGCTAGCCTTATTCATATCACATCAAAAATGAGCAAAATCCGTTGGCACGGCTGACTGACTAATGGCAATTCACATTTTTGCAAAATTTGGCCGGGCTCGAAAGTACGTCGACTGGCGTGCTCAAAATAGGACATTAATATGGGAGCATAGCAGTAACAACTATACCCAACTTCAAACATGTGGGCCAAACGGTTCCTGAGTTATCGTTGACGGACGGACGTACGACGGACGACGACCCATGGCAATAGCTCAGCTTGACGATGTCAATGTGAGCTAATAATGCTAGAACAATTATTTGATGATCATGAAAGCTTACCTGACTCTGGCTCTCCATTTTTCTGTTCATCCTCTTCCTCCACATCCCATGCATCCTGGATGAAAATGAGACGTTAGAGAATAAAAAACGTAAAATGTACATGATGGCCACCTGATGTATATACAAGCAATGACACTTCTATCTACAAGCATATACTTTTCATTTACCTACGTGTAACATGCCGTAAATTACTTGTGCTACCCTCAAGTGTCGTATATGGCAGTCTGCCCATAGTTATAAGGTGCATATTTTATACTAGTACAGCTCACAAGGCACTAATGAGTCAAGTCTTACTTTGACGTCATCATCTTCGTCCTCGCCTTCCCATTTGTTCGTTACTGCCGGAACAGAGAACGTAGGCTCATAGTCATCCGCTTCTGAAACATTAACAAATCACTTTAATTTAGTCGTAACCATCAGTCGTTGTTTGAACGTAGTCACCAGTGTTGTAGGTCTCGAGGCCGTTTTCCTTGGTCTCGGAGTGCAATGACTTGGACTCGGACTCGGACTCGAGCCCTCCGACTCGAGTCGAGGCCGGCTCGAGGCCACTACATACATAGTACACAACTGTACATATTGTAACACGCAGTTTACAAGAATTTAAAACTAAAACTCCTAGGTTTTCTAGATACACGGCCCAATATCTTGTAACGTTTTCAATGGCTCGATTAAGATTCTTGTCCCTTTGGTTTGAATCTGCTGTCACTTTGTCCCTTTGCGCTTTTTCTACCACTTCTTTCTCTTCTTCTACCACTTCGAAGGTACTAGCACTCTCTCATTTGGTTCAACAAGCCGTGTCATTCTCGTAAAACACAAATGGATCCGTTACTTTGACACGTTTCGTATGACTCGTGTCTCTGTGTTTTCGGCTGACTATTCACTTTCGAATGTCTACGATGCACTGTTGCGATTTTTTCCCAGATCAATCTCATAAGCCAAGTTGGATGATTGCCACTAATCTACATACAATAGAAGTGTCGACTTATGCAAGTTTTACTGTACTTTCTATTTCATGCAAACAAGTGACAGATCCAGGGGGCAGGAGACCCCCCCCCATTTTTGAACAAACAGTGAAACACATACATAAAAGTGAGTGGCCTTGTCGGTCTGTGCCCCTTTTTTTAATAAAAACTGGAGTCGGACTCGGGGGGTGCGGACTCGGACTCGGACTCGGGGGGTGCGGACTCGGACTCGGACTCGGGGAGTGCGGACTCGACTACAACACTGGTAGTCACACATATACATGCATGCTAACCGGTGTAAGACACTGTGGTAATAATAAATATGAGTACAGAACTAAATTTCCAAAGCCATTCTGCTTAGTACTACAATTAGTTGTAGTAGCACTAGCCATTAAAACTGTGACTGCTTTTAGTGAGTTCACACGTACGCACGTTTGTTACTGTTACCTCGTAACTTCATAAGTATTAGTCTCCAAAGTCCGAGGGACTATATCGAAGACAGAGAGACAAAGTTGATCGCCAGGGACAGAGTTATAAAATCGGCAAAGCCAAGGTTACAGTGTAACATACCAAAGGAACGAGCCGCTTTCTTACAAATATAATCAATCTGGGAATTCCAGCGAAGATCGCTACTAATAATGACACCCAAATATTTGTAAGTAGGGGTAAGAGATAGATATTTATGGTACAATGAGTAAGTAAAAGTCAAGGGTGATTTAGGAAATATGTAATATGAGAAATTTTAGATTTTTCAGTATTGAAAGACATACTCCACGTTGTTGCCCACTTCTCAGCACAAGTAAGGACACTCTGGAGGGCTAACTGATCACCCGTATTGGAGATAGTGTGGTATAGAACTGCGTCGCCAGAAAAGAGGTGAATAGAAGTAGAAGTCAAGTTTCAGCCAGCAAATCTGACATGCTGCCATTGACACAGACAATTCGTGATCTATCCTTCAAAAAGTCAGAAATCCAGTATGACCTAGTAATATCCAAACCCAAGTGATCAAGTTTGATAATTAAAAGACCATGAGGAACCCTATAAAAGGCCTTGCTGAAATCTAGAAATACTGCATCAACCTGTTGAGACTTGTTAAGACTTAATGTTTAATCATGAAGAACATTGATTAACTCAGTAACAGTAGAAAACCCATGTCGAAAACCATGTTGATGATCGGATAGAATATCATGCCTATCGAAATGGCTAATAACATAGGAATAGACTATATGCTCAAATGCCTTAGCGCAAAGAGAAAGCAAAGACATTGGCTAAAATTTGAAGCAAGGGAAGATCTACCACCTTTATAAACTGGGGTAATGAGAGCCTTTTTCCAATCGGAAGGCTCGAGGACCTAGATCATAGGATTGGCAGAACATATTGTGCAGTGAAGGCCCAAGCTCATCCGCAAAATGATGTAAAAGATGTTACATGTTGTACACTACCAAAGTCAGGATTAACTTTTATTGGGTGGATTGAGAATATGAATAATGATAGTCTATAAAGAAGCCATTTGGCCATAAAGTCATGGGCCTCCTGCTATGCAATTCTGTGGCAAGAGGCAGCCTTGCTGGAATGTGTACTAGAGCAGGTCAATCCTACTATATTAATTTACATTACATTTCGTTAACTTCCTTTACTTCATTTATTTAGGTCGGGCTTCCTAAGCTGGGTTTACACTATCTACTAATAGACTTTATGCAGGCAATTTGGCATTGTTCTTCTTTCTACCAACCTCTGTATATTATCAATTATATTATGTTCAAAGCTCTTACGTTATCGACCGCGAGGTGGCAAACGTTTCAACATTTGACCCGTAGTGTGCGCGCAGGGCAATGCGGATACGCATTTTTGCATGTATTCCATGCCGCCAGAGTGGCGCTGATAGCAAAAACGTGCTCTCCCCCTAGGTGGAGGAACACACCTCCTGATTGCTGTTCTATGAGTGGCCCACATGGCTTATAATTCAGCAATACCGAGTTGGGAAAATAGAACAATACATGCCCCGAGTTGTTCAAAATTGTGCACATGATATTCAAGGCCAAGATGAACAACCCATGCCCAATATGCCACAAAACAATGTTCCAGCCAGCACTTGCCACCAAACTCGAGGTCACCCCTATAAATTTCAAGCTCACCACACCCCAGGCCAGCGACACAACTTCTTCGCAACTAGAGTACTGGACAATTGGAACACGCTCAAGACTGAGACAGTCTGTAGCACCACACTGAATGCTTTTAAGGGACGGCTTACGAGGGAGTGGCAAACCAGACCGTGCCTGTACCAGTACCGTTTTCCTACTGACTACCATCTCGCACATGCACGCCAGTGATTATTACAGACATATACTTGTACACGAAACAGGAACATGAACAGTTCGCCCAACCTTATACGGTCTCAATATCTTAACCGGCAAATATTGACCGATCATAAGATAACTCATAAGATAACTAATCTCCCAACACCCACCTCCCAGCAAGTTGGTCGCACAACCTTTACGTTTACACACTGACGATTGTTGTTTGTACAACAGCAAAACTGGTACAATTCGCCAATTGGACTGCATGAAGTCGGTAGTGTAAACCCAGCTTTAGACATATATGTAAGGCTAAGGGTTGTGATTATTAGGGTTTATAAAGTGAATGACGTACGATGATGACAGCGTATGGACAGGAGTTCTAAGTAAAAGAAAAAGCAGATTGACCAACTCCTAGTAAACATGCCTAGTAGTACTAGTAGTAGTAGTTACATGGTCACGGTGTTGACACTGTCAATGTTGTTTAGTGTCACCCTTCCAATTTTTTGTCTGCCAGTTATATCTACCACATGCGCACACCTTATCAGTCTTCACTTTATAAATTTAGCATATATACGAATTCTGGATTATACTAGGTGGGCACTAGTTAGTTATGCGTATAACATACTAACAGTAACAGTAAGTGATTAGACATTGTCATTACGAACACAGGCACTTGGAGGGTTTCAATAAAATATAATGCTAAACAAATACGAAATCTATTTACTACCAAAGTCTTAATGTTTCTATACTCTCTTTCACCTATTATTGCCGACAATTTCCTGCAAATGCTCATCTCCAACAAACGCTGGCTGCCGCTGCACACTGACACATAAATATATAGCAGGTAGGAAAGCGTGCTGCCAAAATTCGCTCGACGCTCGCTTGATTTCCCACAAATACAACACAAATATTAAACCATTCTACTCCATTTTTGTTTCTATTTGAAGAACAGTGTTCACTTGTTATAAAAACATACTGTCTGTGTTTGTAACCGAGCCGTGTCATGCGAAATCACACAAAGCCTGACGAAATTCTCGCGTTCGCTCCCGTTGCGGTTTATGTAAATGGCTGCAAGTACAAGGCTATAGGCGGCGCACTGCATTTTGGGAAACTACCACGCTGCTTTCCAACTCCCGTACGAGCCTCGTCAAAGCCGCCAGTGGAGCGTTGGAATAATGCAGTGCAAAAATGAGGTCACGAAGAGCGCCGGTGGGTGTTTCCCCGATTCTGACAGTCATTTACATAAACTGCGCAACGGGAGGGAACGCCAGAATTTCGTCAGGGCTTTGTGTGATTTCACGTGACACAGCTCGGTTACGAACACAGACAGTATGTTTTTATAACAAGTGAACACTGTTCTTTAAATAGAAACAAAGATGGAGTAGAATGGTTTAATATTTGTGTTGTATTCGTGTGAAATCAAGCGAGCATCGAGCGAATTTTGGCAGCACGCTTTCCTACCTGCTATATATATATATTTACGTGTCAGGGACTCAGTGAGTGTCACTGTCAGTGTGCAGAGCAGCCAGCGTTTGTTGGAGATGAGCATTTGGACGGCATTAAGGGCATTTGCAGGAAATTGTCGGCAATAATAAGTGAAAGAGAGTATAGAAACATTAAGACTTTGGTAGTATATAGATTTCGTATTTAACTAGCATTATATTTTATTGAAACGCTCCAAGTGCCTGTGATTACGAAATACCGGTAAGACAGTCCGACGGGGAAAGTTAACACTAACACTAACAGACAGAATTACAATGCAAGATTTTAGCAGGAAACTTCTATATGACACAAAGTAATATCGATCATATTAATGCACATAAGAGTACGTGACGATAACAAGATTGAAACACTTCACAACGCATATCACTTTTGAGTTATTGCATTAAATATGTTAAACATGCGTTGTACCGACCCCACTCCGCCTCAGACATCTTGCTCAAGTTTGCCTACCATTCACCCGCATCACGCGCGCCAAACGCACACTAACAAATTGTGCAATATTGCACATTCTCCTTAGTACAAGGTTAAGATAACATAACTAAAACGCTATTAAATTAATTAAATAAAAAAAAATAAACGTATGTAAAAGCTAACACTTTAAACTCTGTCTTATTTTATACGATTAAATTCCATAAATTTATTGTGGGGAGAGGTTGATCATATTCATGTACTTGTGTCTATTTTCTAGACGAACCTAACACGTCGCTGCGGCTGCTCCCACAACCTTGGCCACAACCAAGAATCATGCCAGAAAATGTATGGACTCCGTCTAGGCCTATCTAATCCGCGTAAGTTGTGTATTTGTGTAAGTTGTGTATTTGCAAATTCTACCTAGCAAAATCGTAAATTATGGTGAAGGCTGGTAAAAAAAAGCTGCTGTTAGTTACCAGCCCTTTCGGCTGGTGCAAAAAAATCTTACTTTCTTGCCCTGTATTAGTAATTTACTAATTAGATTTAATTAGCAATAGTATCATTCATATTATCAGGAGTAAGATAATATAGAATCTAGTTCTATATTATCTTACTCCTGATATTATCATTATGACATATTCGCGGTAGCTCTCTAGTACTATAGCCCGCGTACAGTTGCCGCTGGCAGTGGCAACTGTACGCGGGCTATAGTACTAGAGCTATATTCGCGGTGGCTACGCGTCCGGAACCGGTCGCCTAGCCTCCAGGCTACGTATCCGGATATCCACTCACTCGGTGATCGTGCGACTTGCGTACACGCATGATTGCGCAACGGGACGCTCTGCTGATTGCCGTAAATATACAATAATAATCAATATATGCACTGCTGGCGTCTATCCTTTAATCCGTCCTCTCTCGCTCTCTCTCTCTTTCTCACACACACGTACAGCTCTCTCTCTCTCTCTCTCTCTCTCTCTCTCTCTCTCTCTCT